TTTATTGCATTTTCTTGCACAAAATACACCTAAAAGTGTAGAAAAAAATTGACAGCCAAAAAAGAGTAGAGGAAGACACCTATTACCACCTAAATGTCATTTAACCCATAAATCCAAAATTATAAAAAAGTTCCCAAACTAATTGAATTTTTCTTAGGCAGACGATTTTATTGCAATTTCTTGCACAAAATACACCAAAAAGTGTAGAAAAAAATTGACAGCCAAAAAAGAGTAGAGGAAGACACCTATTACCACCTAAATGTCATTTAACCCATAAATCCAAAATTATAAAAAAGTTCCCAAAATAATTGAATTTTTTTTAGGCAGACGATTTTAATGCATTTTCTTGCACAAAATACACCTAAAAGTGTAGAAAAAAATTGACAGCCAAAAAAGAGTAGAGGAAGACACCTATTACCACCTAAATGTCATTTAACCCATAAATCCAAAATTATAAAAAAGTTCCCAAAATAATTTAATTTTTTTTAGGCAGACGATTTTAATGCATTTTCTTGCACAAAATACACCTAAAAGTGTAGAAAAAAATTGACAGCCAAAAAAGAGTAGAGGAAGACACCTATTACCACCTAAATGTCATTTAACCCATAAATCCAAAATTATAAAAAAGTTCCCAAAATAATTTAATTTTTTTTAGGCAGACGATTTTAATGCATATTCTTGCACAAAATACACCTAAAAGTGTTGAAAAAAATCGACATCCAAATCCGAGTAGAGGAAGACACCTATTACCACCTAAAAGTCATTTTACCAAAAAAACCAAAATTAAAAAAAAGTTCCCAATATAATTCAATTTTTCTTAGGCGGACTATTTTATTGCATTTTCATGCACAAAACAAAACTAAAAGTGTAGAAAAAAATTGACAGCCAAATACGAGTAGAGGAAGAAACCTATTACTACCTAAAAATCATTTTACCAAAAAAACCAAAATTATAAAAAAGTTCCTAATATAATTCAATTTTTCTTAGGCGGACTATTTTATTGCATTTTCTTGCACAAAATACACCTAAAAGTGTAGAAAAAAATTGACAGCCAAAAAAGAGTAGAGGAAGACACCTATTACCACCTAAATGTCATTTAACCCATAAATCCAAAATTATAAAAAAGTTCCCAAAATAATTGAATTTTTTTTAGGCAGACGATTTTAATGCATTTTCTTGCACAAAATACACCTAAAAGTGTAGAAAAAAATTGACAGCCAAAAAAGAGTAGAGGAAGACACCTATTACCACCTAAATGTCATTTAACCCATAAATCCAAAATTATAAAAAAATTTCCAAAATAATTTAATTTTTCTCAGGCAGACGATTCTAATGCATTTTCTTGCACAAAATACACCTAAAAGTGTAGAAAAAAATTGACAGCCAAAAAAGAGTAGAGGAAGACACCTATTACCACCTAAATGTCATTTAACCCATAAATCCAAAATTATAAAAAAGTTCCCAAACTAATTGAATTTTTCTTAGGCAGACGATTTTAATGCATTTTCTTGCACAAAATACACCTAAAAGTGTAGAAAAAAATTGACAGCCAAAAAAGAGTAGAGGAAGACACCTATTACCACCTAAATGTCATTTAACCCATAAACCAAAAATTATAAAAAAGTTCCCAAAATAATTTAATTTTTCTTAGGCAAACGATTTTAATGCATTTTCTTGCACAAAATACAAATAAAAGTGTAGAAAAAAATTGACAGCCAAAAAAGAGTAGAGGAAGACACCTATTACCACCTAAATGTCATTTAACCCATAAATCCAAAATTATAAAAAAGTTCCCAAAATAATTTAATTTTTTTTAGGCAGACGATTTTAATGCATTTTCTTGCACAAAATACAACTAATAGTGTAGAAAAAAATTGACAGCCAAAAAAGAGTAGAGGAAGACACCTATTACCACCTTAATGTCATTAAACCCATAAATCCAAAATTATAAAAAAGTTCCCAAAATAATTTAATTTTTCTTAGGCAGACGATTTTAATGCATTTTCTTGCACAAAATACAACTAAAAGTGTAGAAAAAAATCGACAGCCAAATCCGAGTAGAGGAAGACACCTATTACCACCTAAAAGTCATTTTACCAAAAAAACCAAAATTAAAAAAAAGTTCCCAATATAATTCAATTTTTCTTAGGCGGACTATTTTATTGCATTTTCATGCACAAAACACACCTAAAAGTGTAGAAAAAAATTGACAGCCAAATACGAGTAGAGGAAGAAACCTATTACTACCTAAAAATCATTTTACCAAAAAAACCAAAATTAAAAAAAAGTTCCCAATATAATTCAATTTTTCTTAGGCGGACTATTTTATTGCATTTTCTTGCACAAAATACACCTAAAAGTGTAGAAAAAAATTGACAGCCAAAAAAGAGTAGAGGAAGACACCTATTACCACCTAAATGTCATTTAACCCATAAATCCAAAATTATAAAAAAGTTCCCAAACTAATTGAATTTTTCTTAGGCAGACGATTTTATTGCAATTTCTTACACAAAATACACCAAAAAGTGTAGAAAAAAATTGACAGCCAAAAAAGAGTAGAGGAAGACACCTATTACCACCTAAATGTCATTTAACCCATAAATCCAAAATTATAAAAAAGTTCCCAAAATAATTGAATTTTTTTTAGGCAGACGATTTTAATGCATTTTCTTGCACAAAATACACCTAAAAGTGTAGAAAAAAATTGACAGCCAAAAAAGAGTAGAGGAAGACACCTATTACCACCTAAATGTCATTTAACCCATAAATCCAAAATTATAAAAAAGTTCCCAAAATAATTGAATTTTTTTTAGGCAGACGATTTTAATGCATTTTCTTGCACAAAATACACCTAAAAGTGTAGAAAAAAATTGACAGCCAAAAAAGAGTAGAGGAAGACACCTATTACCACCTAAATGTCATTTAACCCATAAACCAAAAATTATAAAAAAGTTCCCAAAATAATTTAATTTTTCTTAGGCAGACGATTTTAATGCATTTTCTTGCACAAAATACACCTAAAAGTGTAGAAAAAAATTGACAGCCAAAAAAGAGTAGAGGAAGACACCTATTACCACCTAAATGTCATTTAACCCATAAATCCAAAATTATAAAAAAGTTCCCAAAATAATTGAATTTTTTTTAGGCAGACGATTTTAATGCATATTCTTGCACAAAATACACCTAAAAGTGTAGAAAAAAATTGACAGCCAAAAAAGAGTAGAGGAAGACACCTATTACCACCTAAATGTCATTAAACCCATAAATCCAAAATTATAAAAAAATTTCCAAAATAATTTAATTTTTCTCAGGCAGACGATTCTAATGCATTTTCTTGCACAAAATACACCTAAAAGTGTAGAAAAAAATTGACAGCCAAAAAAGAGTAGAGGAAGACACCTATTACCACCTAAATGTCATTTAACCCATAAATCCAAAATTATAAAAAAGTTCCCAAAATAATTTAATTTTTTTTAGGCAGACGATTTTAATGCATATTCTTGCACAAAATACACCTAAAAGTGTTGAAAAAAATCGACAGCCAAATCCGAGTAGAGGAAGACACCTATTACCACCTAAAAGTCATTTTACCAAAAAAACCAAAATTAAAAAAAAGTTCCCAATATAATTCAATTTTTCTTAGGCGGACTATTTTATTGCATTTTCATGCACAAAACAAAACTAAAAGTGTAGAAAAAAATTGACAGCCAAATACGAGTAGAGGAAGAAACCTATTACTACTGTGACGTGACATTTTTGACCCGTCACTAAAATTATTAAATTATAAAGTAAAAATAAAGAATAATTAAATTGTCTTACTGGGAGAACACGTATTCACGTTCCTCTACTCCATAACTCGATCTCGACCGCATTAACTTTAGGGATAGAAAAATAATTTTGTATACTGCCGTTTTATTTTTATTTTTTTTTATGTATTCATTGCGTGCGATAACGATGATCTGCAATGGACTACGAGACTACTGATGGATCCACGGACAAGGAGATGTTCTCAAACCCATATAGATGAGAACTAATCCGACTTCATCATTCTGGTGCAGTTTCATTGGAAATAACTTCGCTAGGAATGGTTACCGAAATACTGTTGTAGAAAAATCTTTTATCGTCTTAGAACCATCTGGAATTGAGAAGTTAACCACAACATACGCTATTGGACCATATATCGGAACTTGGCCGACAATGAGGAGCGACCAGTTCAATTTTGTTTTTCTTTTGCTTTGTTTTTGTTTTAACCTTTGATCAGTCGACGATGAGGTGCGGCTGTTTCATTTATCCAATTTTCGTTTTGGATCTATCGACGATGAGGAGCGATGAAATCCACCGAAATTGGTCAATTTTGAATTATTGTCGTCAATGAGGAGCGACACTACTAATTTCGAGGACGGATGCTGGATGACGAGAAGTACCGTCCGAATTGGCATTATATGAGAATTTCTTTCCATTTCACCGATGATAGTCTAATTGAGATCCAGACTTTGTATTAAGGCAATGACTATCACCATTTGGATCTGCGTGATTTTGGTCAGGATATGTACGAGAAATCGTGAAAACTGACGTAACGATCATCGAAAATATTATGGAATCATTAGCGGTAAAAAGGTATAAATTTTTCTTAACATTTTCCAAGATTAATAATCTACTTACAGACGAAAACAGATGTACGATACCATAGCGAGGGCGATTTCAATAACGATTGCACCAAGAATGCACCAAGAATACTCCAAGGATACACAAGAAGATATTGCGTATTGTAGTAATTAATTAAATTTTGTTTATTTTATTTCTTATATTTTTCTTTATCATTTTAGCGATATTTATGATAACTATTTCTTTCTTATTTTTTTTTTAACAGATTAGAGTTGAATTCTAATACGTTATTCGGAATTTATTAGCGTTAATTAAAATTATTTGAGTTATTTAAATATTTGAACTCTTTTAGTATTTTCTTTATTATATTTTTTTTTGGTTCGATTGATTCATTTTTAATATTTAGTAAAAATTTAGACTACTATTGCGATATAGAATCGATTTCATGCGATATTGATTATTAATTATTATTGTTATTTTTATTATAGCATTAATTGTTTACGTATTTTACACTATTAAAATAGTGATCTATAACTCGTAATCATACAAGAAATATTATTGTAAAATATCAGCTGTGAAGGTATGATTTAATATTTCGTTTAATTTTGAATTTGAATGTGTTTCGCGCCGTTGCGTAGAAGAAGTATGAGTGTTCGCGCGCCGGATTATCAGATTAGGTTAGAAAAGGCCCGACGCCGCCGGCACTCTCGAACACGAGGCACATTAGCTTGGCGATAGCGATAGAGACTGGTTCCAAATTTTGTATCGTCGAAGAATACCGTCTACACGATTGTCACGTCGAGATATAGAGCCAAGCCGAGAGATCTGCCGATACCGTAGCGAGAAAATAGAGGAACCTGAGACGAGGAAATCAAATATTTGGATTTTATTGTAACTTTTCTGTAAGTCGACATGTAGTTCTCTCTCTATAATTAATTTTTTTTAGAATGCATATTCCACTTATTCATTATATTATAACTCGAATATAAAGTAAAATTATCGAAATTGGAATATGGATTCTATATATTGTCGAATGGTCGTTATTATCGAATTTCGCGTTATTTTTCTCAAGTTATTTAAAAATTAGAATTATTTTAATATCGTTTATGCGACACTTCGACAAAGATGATTTCCTTATGATTATAATCATAAATTTTTTTTTATTATTAATCATGCTTGAGCAAGATTTTTTTTTTGATTTTGTATAATTTGTTAAATTCGTATTTCATAATATAACGTTATGTCGCGAAATATTCTTAGAGGTCAAGTTATTTTCGAGTTATCGTTAAGATAAGCTAGACTTTTCAATTTTCTTGTATCGCGATATCGATAGAAAATTAGTGAGTAAAAATAATTATTGAGGTAAAATTGTTAAACAAAAATTATTAAATTCTGTCGATAATTAAATATTCACATTTTTTTTTTTGTAAAATTTACAACTACACTGAGAGACGCCATTGATAATATAAAGTTGTTAAATTGCATTATTGGAATCATGAATTATTTCTTTTGTACCTCATGAAAAACTCTCAACACAGACCCACTTCCCCTTGTTTTAATTAATAACCGCGAGCTAGTAATAATAATAATTTGGGTACCGGTTTATTGAGATCGAGATGTTAAACATTATTATCTAATTTTTTTTTTGATAAATTTCTTTTGAAGCTTTTGAGTTATGTACGATTTTAATATTGTTGGTTTTGCTGACGTTGACTCATCGGTGAGTCTGGCGCCCAACATTTGGTAAAGTTTGCTGTAGAGTTTTCTTTTATTATTATTTATTTAAAAAATTAGATACCGATTATATTCTCGATCGAGGTACCGAAGGTGAACGCATTTATTCCTAATTTGGCATAGGAATCGCGAGAAGTAAATTTGAGGATTACCGATCATTTATTTCCTACTTCACAAATGGCGCCCAACGTGGGGCATTGCCAAAAATAAATAAGAGTTCTGTTGAGAGTTGTTTCATTTTGTTTTATTTGAAATTTGAAAATTATAGTTTTAATGTGTAATTTTAAATAAAATTATATATCTTTTAAAATTGCATTAATTTGTTATTATGCAAATTAATTAATAATATCGAATTAAATAAAATTTATTAATCAGAATTTTATTTCGACAGATAGATTATATTCGATTATACGTATGACTTTATTGTTCGTGTTTACTTGCTACTAGCTAGAAAACAGAGTCTCGAAAAATATTATGAGTCACTGTTTTCACCAATCAAATCTTGCTTCAGCAGAATAAAAATAACAATATTGTGTTGAAATAAAATCACGAAATTTGATTTAAGAATATTTGATTAAAATAAAATTATTTGTCTGAAAATTTCTATATATATATGTTTTACAAATTTGAGATCAATTATGTTGGTCAAATGTGATAATCATTGATTGAAAAACAATGTCAATCAGTCATAATCACCGACAATCGACTCTCCTTAATATTATTGTTTAAAATAAATTAAATTAAAATAAAATAAAATTAATAAATAAATTTTATATACAATATAAAAACAAGTTTAAAAACAATGTGTCCCACTCTGACCCCCAAAACTCTTCGTACTTGGGTCTATTCCATGAGAAAAGAAGACCTCACTTACGAATTGGAAAATCGAAGCCTATCCATTAGTGGAATTGTTCCCGTCCTCCGTGAGCGATTATTAAAATTTGAAATGCAGAAAATTACTTTAAATGATTCTGGAGTTAGCAGTGCTAATCGGGATGATTTAATTACCATAGGAGAGACAAATAATTCCGGGAACCCTTCGAACACAGTAGTTAACCTGTCAAACCATGAGAATATCCAAGATGCATTTAGCCAAAATTTTGCAGATCGCGATTATCAAGAATTACAGAATAATAGTAGATTATTCGAACAAGCCGCTGGTGGGGAGATGCCACCAGAGAGTACACGTGTACTAGGTAACGACGGACTCCCTCCCACTACCAACTCTCTTCAAGCCATTCCTACTCAATCCCTACCACTCGCCGCTCCCACCAACCCGTCACTACACGCTGATACTGGCACCATACCACGACGAGTAACACAGCAGGCTAACGAAATAAATACTTTAATTCGCGATGAAGCAAATAGACGTTCTGAAACGCCTTTAACGCGAGATCTCGATAGATTATCCTTGGGAATGAGGCCCGTCAACCGTCGATTAAATCCTAACCTTCCCGAATTTAGTCCATCCGAAAGAAATTCTCAGGAAATAGAACGCGACAACGCTCGAAACAATGTTTCTGAGAGACGAAACCGAGCTCAGGATTATTATTCAAATAGAACCCGTATATACGAAAATTTCGAACCATTCGATAATTACGCACCTAATAATATACAAGAATTTAGAGAGAATAGTCGCGTACGGTTCACCGAAAACACGCAACGCGAAAACAATTATTATGAAACTTCGCGACGAGAAAATGAATACCCTGAAAATCGCGATAGAAACCCTCGATATATGTCACGAGATGTAAACGATTCACACTTTAATCGCTTTGAAAATATATCTCGAGACACACGAGAAAGACATCACGATAGACCATCGCGAAATGATGAACAATATCATAATAATAATAATGCGTATAATTATTATCGAAACCCTTCCGATACACGATATAGTTCACGTAATGACTATCTTGACTATGAAGATCTTCCTCGCGATAGATCACGCAGATATGGTACAACCACCGCTACTGCATATGAGACTATGCGAAAGTGGGGAGTACGATTTTCTGGTTCAAGCCAAGAAGATGCAGAATCGTTTCTCCGTAGAATTGAAGAAGGACGTTGCTTCTTTCCTATAAGAGGTGAAGACCTTCTACAAATTTTACCTTTCTTCTTATCGGGAGTTGCCCTCAATTGGTATCGGGGAAAATTACACCAGTGGAGAACATTTAACGACTTCACTCGCGCTTTTAGAAATCGTTTTGCGGATCCCGACTTTCAGTTCGAATTGCGGCAGGAGATATATCGTAGGACACAGGGCGAAAATGAAAGAGTCGCAGACTACCTTACGTGCATGTGGTCATTAATTGATCGCATTAGTCCCCCATTATCGGAAGCAGAAGAGGTCAGTTATGCACATCGAAATCTACTTCCTCGATTGCAAATACAAGTTCGTAGGCACGAAATATTTTCGCGTAACGAATTAGAAGATATAGCGATAGCCGCCGAGAAAACCTATCGAGTAGCGAGATCGTACCGCCCACCCCCCACTCCGGAGAGATCCCTTCTACCAGACTTAGCATACCGCGATAGTCGCAACCGCACTACTACTAGAAAGAAAGAAAATGTACACGCCCTATACGAACTGACAGACGAAGAAGACATCGAGCAAGCTTTTCTTACCACAGAAAGAAACCAAAAACAAAGTTCTAAAGAAAGTAAGAATAACGATAAAAATACTAAGAAAAATCACAAACAACAAAGAGATAATGACGTTCCTCCAATTAGCCCTCCATTGAACACTTTAAAAAATATTGACTCACCCGATGAATCGAAATTAACACAGTCATTGCCTAACATTATAATTTGTTGGAATTGCGATGGCGAGGGACATAGACATCAGGCATGTACTTTACCTCGTACTTTCTTTTGTTACGGTTGTGGTAATAAAGGAGTTACACGTCCCAAATGTCCAAAATGCGCGGAAAACCAAAATCGGAGCCGTTGAATGGGGCTATAACGACTCCATACCCTATAACAAACCCCAATCATATAGAATCACAAAATTTCAATGATAATGTCAAAACAAATAATTTCGACGGAAAGGTCGCGGCAGAAAAACTCGATATAGATATAGAAAAACTACATTTTAAATCTTACGGTAAACTTAATACCTCTGAATTATCATATAACGTTATCATGTTGAATCGAATTGAATCCCTACTTTTCGTTACGATACTTATACATGGTATACCATTCAAAGCTCTAGTAGACAGTGGAGCTTCGCGAACGTTTATCGGTACTAAAGGAATAGAGTTGCTTAAAGAATTCGAATTGAATGTTAAAAATAGTACCGGAAAAGTACAGTTTGCTAATGGTGACGTAGAACTTGTTTCTAAAGAAGTTTCATTACCGATTCAATTAAAAGGTGAATCCAGAAGTATAAATGCTAGAGTATTAGATAGTTTACCCTATCATTTAATCGTAGGATTAGATTTTCTACGAGCCTTTCAAATAGTATCCGAATTCGATAAAAGAACTTGGTATTTTCAACACAATTCCAAATTGCGATACGAGTTTGAATATGAAGACGACATAGATGACGTATGTTTTGGAATACGAGAATTGACTAAAGAACAAGCAGACACATTATCCAATTTTCTCAAACGTGAACTACCGAAACCGACTGACAAACTTGGACTGACTAGCTTAACGGAACATGTAATAGATGTCGGAACACATCCAGCAATAAAACAAAAGTATTATATCGTTTCCCCGAAGGTCCTTGAAGAAATGAATAAGGAACTCGACGATATGATAAAGGATGATGTAGTAGAACCATCTAATGCTGAATGGTCGTCTCCGATAATAATGATCAGGAAACCCGACGGTAGCTATCGCGTATGTCTTGATTTTAGAAAGGTAAATAGCGTCACAAAAAAGGATGCTTATCCTTTACCGCAGATGAATTCTATTCTTGATAAATTGCGTCACGCACGTTATATTTCGAAATTAGATATGCATAAGGGATTTTTACAAATCCCATTACATCGCGATAGTAGAGAGAAAACCGCCTTTACCGTCCCAGGACGAGGGTTATTTCAATTTAAAAGAATGCCCTTTGGGTTGACGAATGCGCCAGCTACGTTCCAACGTTTATTAGATCGTCTAATAGGCCCTGAGATGGAACCAAACGTTTTTGCGTATTTAGACGACATTATTATCGTCACGAAAACGTTTGAAGAGCATCTGGTTTGGCTCAAAAAGGTACTCGATAAAATCAAAGAGGCAGGTCTCAAGCTTAGTCCGGAAAAATGTGAATTTTGTTGCACTCAAGTTCGCTATTTAGGTTATCTCGTCGATGAAAACGGTTTACAGATTGATCCCGAGAAAATCGAACCTGTTATACAATATCCACCACCACGTAATATAAAACAGTTACGTAGATTTTTAGGCATGGCATCATGGTATAGACGATTTGTACCTAATTTCGCCACTGTAGCAGCACCTCTAACTACATTACTTAAAAAGAACGTAAAATGGTCATGGGAAAAAGAACAAAAAGAATCATTCAATATCTTGAAAAATTTTCTAGCCGAATCTCCCGTATTAGCGTGCCCAGATTTCAACGAAAAATTTGAATTACAGACAGACGCAAGTAATTCCGGTATAGGAGCCGTCTTAGTACAGAAAATTAACGGTATAGAATATGTTATCGCGTACGCCAGTAGAGTAATGACAGAAGCTGAACAAAAGTATTCGGTCACGGAGAAAGAGTGCCTAGCCGTGATATGGGCCATACAAAAATTCAGGGCATATTTAGAAGGGTACCATTTCACTGTCGTGACCGATCACAGCAGCCTAAGATGGTTAAGTAATTTGAAAAATCCGACAGGTAGGTTAGCTCGATGGGCCTTAGCGTTACTCGAATACGATTACGAAATCGTTTACCGTAAAGGATCTAATCATTTTGTGCCCGATGCGCTATCCCGCTTACACGAGACTACCGACCGTCTAAACTTCGTTCAAGACCCGAAACTATCTTGGTACGTAAGACGATATTTATCAGTAACCGAATATCCGGACAGATTTCCACTTTGGCGTATTATCGATAAAAGACTTTATCATTACCGCTCTGATCCCTATTTGGAATCATTAGACAAAGATCTCGATGCGTGGAAGCTAGTTCCGAGTGAAGACCAAGTACCGACCATAATATCGGAATCACACGATAACCCACAATCAGGTCATTTAGGTGTGCAGAAAACACATGCTCGAATTGCCAAAAGTTATTATTGGCCAAACTGTTATCGAGATGTGGTATCGTATGTGCGAAGTTGCGAAATATGTCAAACTTGTAAAGTTGACCAATTAACTCCTCCTGGATTAATGGGCCAACGAGTCATTGAGGAACCTTGGACCGTTGTCGCCGCCGACATTATTGGTCCACTTCCCCGCAGCAAAGCACAATACCAATATATATTAGTCATGCAAGATCTTTTTACAAAATGGGTCGAGTGTGCTCCCCTCAGATCGGCAAACGGTAAGAAAATCAAAGAATTATTTAGAGAACTGATATTAAATCGTTGGGGTGCCCCTCGCGTCATATTAACGGATAACGGTACAGAATTTATTAATAGTACAATTCGTCATATGGCGGAAGAATATAACATCTACCACTCAACTACTCCCCCCTACCATCCACAGGCGAACCCTGTAGAGAGAGTAAATAGGGTACTCAAAACGATGATTATTTCTTTTGTTAAAAAGGATCATCGATCTTGGGACGAAAATTTGCCAGAATTTAGATTTGCATATAATACCGCATTTCATACTAGCATAAAAACCACCCCTGCATTTTTAAATTTAGGGCGTGAACCAAAGTCTATTAATTTCTTACGAAGTAGAGTCGAAAACGTTAATGAGGTGGAAACACAATCACATGAAATTTGGAACGAAAGAATGCGAAAATTACAAATCATTAAAGATTGGGTAATACAAAATCTGGACGATGCCTTCGTAAGTCAATCTAAGAGATATAATCTTAGACGTAAAGAAGCTCAATATCACTTGGGTGACTTAGTTCTTGCGCGCAATCGCCAATTATCGAATAAAGAGAAAAATATCGCCGCAAAATTATGTCCGAAATTTAATGGTCCCTTTGAGATAACCAAAGTTCTTTCTCCCTTAGTCTATGAGATAAGCGACTTAGATGGCGCTAAAATTTGCAAAATCCATATTGAAGATATTAAATTGTATAAAAATTAATTAAGACATATTATAACTACTATTTCGTTTACAGGAAAAGTCGAGTTGCGATAACGATATGGCGGAAAGTAACGATCAAGTTTTACCCCTTGAGAGCCCAAAATCCGAGATGAAATTGTTACTAGAACGATTATATAACGAAGTACATGTAGCTCGAAACGCAACGAGGGCCGTAGCTCAAACCGTTAATAGATTGGATATCATAGGCGATAGAATGGATTCGAAAATAGAGAAATTACAGGAAGAACTCGCTAACTCAATTGCTTCCAAGAAACCAGAAAATGAGTGGATTATGGAAGATGGTATCAATTATTTTGATATAGTGAAGACTATCAACCACAAATTTCCAGGACTATTGATTTCGCTAACGCAATTTCCGCAACCGAAACCCGAATATATAGATCTAGTTCCCGAAGATGCTGGTGTTCCTGGATTGTTACCAGATTTACCTAAGGTCAATGAAGTCATTCCAGAAGAAAACGAGTTAGAATTAGATGTCTCCGCAGAACCAACGCACCCAATACCTTGCAAATGTCATGAACGTGAACTAAGTGATGCGAGTACTCAGACTTGCCCTATCGACTTTTTGAATGAAGGATCTGGTAACGCACAAGGGTCAAATTCTGGCCAAGAACTTTTTCCACCTGAAGAACATCCAGAAAATCACAAAATCAACATCGAAGATCCCTCCACTAGTCATGTTAGAGTTCCACGCAAAAATGGTTGTTGGAATTGTAGTTCCATGTTGCACAAATATGCCGATTGTGATCAACCCTTCGATCGTATTTTTTGTTACCACTGCAGTTACGAAGGATTCATAACTGCTGATTGCCCTAATTGTGATGGTAAACAATTAATAGAAGGAGTCCACTACATTCGAAGACACAGAGAATATTGAAGCCAAAGTTTATAAAATTTATTCTACCAACTCCGATCGTTAATTTCGTCTCGTTAATGCAATAATATTTTTTTTTGGATATCGTATTTAAATTTTTCTTATTTCGTGTTGTTACTATTACATACAATTTCTTTTCGTTTCTACAAATATCGTTTAATTATCACGTTATTTACGAATCACTATTATCGATCAGATTAATTACGTCGTGAGTAATAACATTTATAATTTTCGTTTATTTTAGTTTAAAGATACTGTTTTCGTTTATAGAAATATGATCGTTCCCTGATATCGTACTAAGTAACTAATCTATCTTGTTTGATTCAATATATATTTCCAGTATAAAAGAAGAAAGTCGATTGACGACTGTTATAATGATCTCAGAATTTGACAACAGCGCCAAAGAAGGCTGCAGACTAATAATTATTTCCTCTTTTATTATCATTGATGCAACGATTGAGAATATTGTATTAATGTATATATTTGTTAATAAAGGTTTGTAATAATCAAGTTTTGTCGATTTCTCGCAGACAAAAAAAAAAATTTATTATCATTAATTTTTTTTTAACCCTATCATTATTTTGGTTGATGATTGAATATTAATTTTTTTTGCTAAATTATGATTTTGTTTATTTTGTTGCTATTATCATTTTCATTTATGGTGAAGTTATTAATTTTCTTGCGTGTCGAAGATCGATAATGGAAATGAGCGTTCAGACAAATATTGAAGATTGAGAATGAGCTGTCGACTTATTGATGGGTTATTTTTGATTTATATTATTGGGTTTTCTTTCAATTCTATAATTTTGTATATTACATGACAAAATTTTTTTTTGTTGTTGCGTCGGAATAATACCTCCTTACAATTGAAGGAAGGTGGAGTTGTGACGTGACATTTTTGACCCGTCACTAAAATTATTAAATTATAAAGTAAAAATAAAGAATAATTAAATTGTCTTACTGGGAGAACACGTATTCACGTTCCTCTACTCCATAACTCGATCTCGACCGCATTAACTTTAGGGATAGAAAAATAATTTTGTATACTGCCGTTTTATTTTTATTTTTTTTTATGTATTCATTGCGTGCGATAACGATGATCTGCAATGGACTACGAGACTACTGATGGATCCACGGACAAGGAGATGTTCTCAAACCCATATAGATGAGAACTAATCCGACTTCATCATTCTGGTGCAGTTTCATTGGAAATAACTTCGCTAGGAATGGTTACCGAAATACTGTTGTAGAAAAATCTTTTATCGTCTTAGAACCATCTGGAATTGAGAAGTTAACCACAACATACGCTATTGGACCATATATCGGAACTTGGCCGACAATGAGGAGCGACCAGTTCAATTTTGTTTTTCTTTTGCTTTGTTTTTGTTTTAACCTTTGATCAGTCGACGATGAGGTGCGGCTGTTTCATTTATCCAATTTTCGTTTTGGATCTATCGACGATGAGGAGCGATGAAATCCACCGAAATTGGTCAATTTTGAATTATTGTCGTCAATGAGGAGCGACACTACTAATTTCGAGGACGGATGCTGGATGACGAGAAGTACCGTCCGAATTGGCATTATATGAGAATTTCTTTCCATTTCACCGATGATAGTCTAATTGAGATCCAGACTTTGTATTAAGGCAATGACTATCACCATTTGGATCTGCGTGATTTTGGTCAGGATATGTACGAGAAATCGTGAAAACTGACGTAACGATCATCGAAAATATTATGGAATCATTAGCGGTAAAAAGGTATAAATTTTTCTTAACATTTTCCAAGATTAATAATCTACTTACAGACGAAAACAGATGTACGATACCATAGCGAGGGCGATTTCAATAACGATTGCACCAAGAATGCACCAAGAATACTCCAAGGATACACAAGAAGATATTGCGTATTGTAGTAATTAATTAAATTTTGTTTATTTTATTTCTTATATTTTTCTTTATCATTTTAGCGATATTTATGATAACTATTTCTTTCTTATTTTTTTTTTAACAGATTAGAGTTGAATTCTAATACGTTATTCGGAATTTATTAGCGTTAATTAAAATTATTTGAGTTATTTAAATATTTGAACTCTTTTAGTATTTTCTTTATTATATTTTTTTTTGGTTCGATTGATTCATTTTTAATATTTAGTAAAAATTTAGACTACTATTGCGATATAGAATCGATTTCATGCGATATTGATTATTAATTATTATTGTTATTTTTATTATAGCATTAATTGTTTACGTATTTTACACTATTAAAATAGTGATCTATAACTCGTAATCATACAAGAAATATTATTGTAAAATATCAGCTGTGAAGGTATGATTTAATATTTCGTTTAATTTTGAATTTGAATGTGTTTCGCGCCGTTGCGTAGAAGAAGTATGAGTGTTCGCGCGCCGGATTATCAGATTAGGTTAGAAAAGGCCCGACGCCGCCGGCACTCTCGAACACGAGGCACATTAGCTTGGCGATAGCGATAGAGACTGGTTCCAAATTTTGTATCGTCGAAGAATACCGTCTACACGATTGTCACGTCGAGATATAGAGCCAAGCCGAGAGATCTGCCGATACCGTAGCGAGAAAATAGAGGAACCTGAGACGAGGAAATCAAATATTTGGATTTTATTGTAACTTTTCTGTAAGTCGACATGTAGTTCTCTCTCTATAATTAATTTTTTTTAGAATGCATATTCCACTTATTCATTATATTATAACTCGAATATAAAGTAAAATTATCGAAATTGGAATATGGATTCTATATATTGTCGAATGGTCGTTATTATCGAATTTCGCGTTATTTTTCTCAAGTTATTTAAAAATTAGAATTATTTTAATATCGTTTATGCGACACTTCGACAAAGATGATTTCCTTATGATTATAATCATAAATTTTTTTTTATTATTAATCATGCTTGAGCAAGATTTTTTTTTTTGATTTTGTATAATTTGTTAAATTCGTATTTCATAATATAACGTTATGTCGCGAAATAATCTTAGAGGTCAAGTTATTTTCGAGTTATCGTTAAGATAAGCTAGACTTTTCAATTTTCTTGTATCGCGATATCGATAGAAAATTAGTGAGTAAAAATAATTATTGAGGTAAAATTGTTAAACAAAAATTATTAAATTCTGTCGATAATTAAATATTCACATTTTTTTTTTTGTAAAATTTACAACTACACTGAGAGACGCCATTGATAATATAAAGTTGTTAAATTGCATTATTGGAATCATGAATTATTTCTTTTGTACCTCATGAAAAACTCTCAACACAGACCCACTTCCCCTTGTTTTAATTAATAACCGCGAGCTAGTAATAATAATAATTTGGGTACCGGTTTATTGAGATCGAGATGTTAAACATTATTATCTAATTTTTTTTTGATAAATTTCTTTTGAAGCTTTTGAGTTATGTACGATTTTAATATTGTTGGTTTTGCTGACGTTGACTCATCGGTGAGTCTGGCGCCCAACATTTGGTAAAGTTTGCTGTAGAGTTTTCTTTTATTATTATTTATTTAAAAAATTAGATACCGATTATATTCTCGATCGAGGTACCGAAGGTGAACGCATTTATTCCTAATTTGGCATAGGAATCGCGAGAAGTAAATTTGAGGATTACCGATCATTTATTTCCTACTTCACACTACCTAAAAATCATTTTACCAAAAAAACCAAAATTATAAAAAAGTTCCTAATATAATTCAATTTTTCTTAGGCGGACTATTTTATTGCATTTTCTTGCACAAAATACACCTAAAAGTGTAGAAAAAAATTGACAGCCAAAAAAGAGTAGAGGAAGACACCTATTACCACCTAAATGTCATTTAACCCATAAATCCAAAATTATAAAAAAGTTCCCAAAATAATTGAATTTTTTTTAGGCAGACGATTTTAATGCATTTTCTTGCACAAAATACACCTAAAAGTGTAGAAAAAAATTGACAGCCAAAAAAGAGTAGAGGAAGACACCTATTACCACCTAAATGTCATTTAACCCATAAATCCAAAATTATAAAAAAATTTCCAAAATAATTTAATTTTTCTCAGGCAGACGATTCTAATGCATTTTCTTGCACAAAATACACCTAAAAGTGTAGAAAAAAATTGACAGCCAAAAAAGAGTAGAGGAAGACACCTATTACCACCTAAATGTCATTTAACCCATAAATCCAAAATTATAAAAAAGTTCCCAAACTAATTGAATTTTTCTTAGGCAGACGATTTTAATGCATTTTCTTGCACAAAATACACCTAAAAGTGTAGAAAAAAATTGACAGCCAAAAAAGAGTAGAGGAAGACACCTATTACCACCTAAATGTCATTTAACCCATAAATCCAAAATTATAAAAAAGTTCCCAAAATAATTTAATTTTTTTTAGGCAGACGATTTTAATGCATTTTCTTGCACAAAATACAACTAAAAGTGTAGAAAAAAATTGACAGCCAAAAAAGAGTAGAGGAAGACACCTATTACCACCTTAATGTCATTAAACCCATAAATCCAAAATTATAAAAAAGTTCCCAAAATAATTTAATTTTTCTTAGGCAGACGATTTTAATGCATTTTCTTGCACAAAATACAACTAAAAGTGTAGAAAAAAATCGACAGCCAAATCCGAGTAGAGGAAGACACCTATTACCACCTAAAAGTCATTTTACCAAAAAAACCAAAATTAAAAAAAAGTTCCCAATATAATTCAATTTTTCTTAGGCGGACTATTTTATTGCATTTTCATGCACAAAACACACCTAAAAGTGTAGAAAAAAATTGACAGCCAAATACGAGTAGAGGAAGAAACCTATTACTACCTAAAAATCATTTTACCAAAAAAACCAAAATTAAAAAAAAGTTCCCAATATAATTCAATTTTTCTTAGGCGGACTATTTTATTGCATTTTCTTGCACAAAATACACCTAAAAGTGTAGAAAAAAATTGACAGCCAAAAAAGAGTAGAGGAAGACACCTATTACCACCTAAATGTCATTTAACCCATAAATCCAAAATTATAAAAAAGTTCCCAAACTAATTGAATTTTTCTTAGGCAGACGATTTTATTGCAATTTCTTACACAAAATACACCAAAAAGTGTAGAAAAAAATTGACAGCCAAAAAAGAGTAGAGGAAGACACCTATTACCACCTAAATGTCATTTAACCCATAAATCCAAAATTATAAAAAAGTTCCCAAAATAATTGAATTTTTTTTAGGCAGACGATTTTAATGCATTTTCTTGCACAAAATACACCTAAAAGTGTAGAAAAAAATTGACAGCCAAAAAAGAGTAGAGGAAGACACCTATTACCACCTAAATGTCATTTAACCCATAAATCCAAAATTATAAAAAATTTCCCAAAATAATTGAATTTTTTTTAGGCAGACGATTTTAATGCATTTTCTTGCACAAAATAC